ATAACAATTAATTTATAATCATTTTAATTAATATATTATATTTTTTTTACCATATTGTTTGTATTAATCTATACTATATTATAAAACATTTGACAAAAATTTTTAAAAACCAGTTTTTATGTATGAAGTACTGTTTATTAATGTATATTACTTAAAATTCAAGATCACAAGTATGTAAGTATGTCTTATTAAAGTTCAATTTTTAAATTCGTGTAACTAACTGCAGATAAACATAAACAAATACAGAATAAACATTCATTTTAAATATAAAAAATTTAAAATATAGTTAAGATAATCGTTGAGTTATAACAGAATGTTTAATTATTATCTTTACAAAAAATTATATTATTAAACACAAAAAAGTTACTTTGTTATTAGATGTAAATTAAATTATAATAAAAATTGAATTAAAAAAATTACACCAAAAAACTAGAACTATTGAATAGTTAATTTAATATTAATATCGATTTTATTTTTTTTCAAAATTTTATGTTATTTTCAAATTTATATAAAAACTAAACAAAGAACTATTATAGTTGATTTGATACTAATATCGATTTTATTTTTTTCAAATTTTTATTCTATCTTCAAATTTATATAAAAATTGGACACTAAAATGAAGATTTATTTCGCTGCAACGTGCAAGTATCTTCAAATTAATATATTATATTACTAAAGATTTCTTTCAATTACATTTGAAGAGTATTATAATTAATTATTTTTTAAAATACATTTTATATTCTTATCAACTAATTTTATTAAATATAATTTATTAATCAACTATCAACTAGTTTATCAAATATAATTCTTATAAATTATTCATAAAAAAAAAAAAACCAAAAATGTGTTAAAAGAGGGAAAAAAAAAGTCGGGGTCTAGAAGCCATGCAACGCAGCCTGCGTATGTAGAAAAGGTAAAAAGAAATTAAAGTAAAATATTAATACCATAATCGAACCTTCTTCCCATCTCCTCCAATTTTGAATTGAATAAGTCTCATCATCTGTCATCTTAAAACCCTAATTCATCTCCAGATCCCTAAATGTATGATTTTCTTCTTCATCAAAATGCCCTCTGTATCTGTTAAATTCTACAGTCTTCTTCATAAATTCATCTTGAAGCGTCAGTTACAAACCCTCACTGAAACCCACACCAAAAGCCCCAATTATTTCGGTGTCGTATCACGCCCCGATGAATCCGTTGTTCCAGCTAACCCTAGTTTCTCCCAAGACGGTGTTGCTACCAAAGATATCCATATTGATCCTTTAACGTCTCTTTCCCTCCGGATCTTTCTCCCTGATTCCGTCCTTGCCGACTCCCGGGGTTTGAAACACGGGGATGGGGTTTATGGTGGTTATGCGCCGATTTTGCGGGATAATTTGCGTAAATTGCCGGTGATTGTGCAGTTTCATGGAGGTGGGTTTGTGACTGGGAGTAGTGATTCGTTGGGGAACGATTTGTTTTGTCGGAGGATTGCGAAGGCGTGTGATGCGATTGTGGTGGCGGTAGGGTATAGGCTTGCACCGGAGAGTAAGTATCCGGCGGCGTTTGACGATGGTGTGGAGGCGTTGAATTGGTTAGCGAAGCAGGCGAATTTGGCCGAGTGTAGGATTTCCGGTGGCGTTGACTTGAGGAGGGGGCAGATTGTTGATGGTTTTGGTTCTTCTATGATCGAGCCTTGGATCGCCGCTCATGCTGATCTTTCGAGGTATACACTTTTCAAGAATTTGCATTCTTTAATTTTCTGATATGATTCTGTTCTAAATTCTAATAACTGTTCCATTTCTTTGCCAAATAAGTACAGTGATCACGATTTTTTCATTGGCATTCCTCAACACAAAAATTTATCGATCACAACCATAAAAAATTGAAATGGGAGGACAAAAGGAAAGAACAATTTGTGTTGGGTAATTGGATGACAATTTGTATGATGTAATTGTTATGGCAATTAGAAATTATAGGTATTTTGGTGATAAAACTATTTCTTAAGATGTGCAAACGCTAAAACCATAGGCACACACACACACACACACACATATAGAGAGAGGAAGGGGAGCGTGGGGGAAGTTCTCTTAGAAACCCAAAATTGATTAGGAATCTAGTAACCGCCCACAATGTGCCATGTGTCCCTCTTCAGGATGAATATTCAGGAATAACACATTCATGATATGATGAATATGTCATGCAACGCATTGTGCGCGGTTCCTAAGGGAATCTGCCCCTATATATATTGATCATTTTATCTATTGTATGGCCGTTAACTATCACAATAAAGGCAGTGAGGCACACTGAAATATGCATGAAACATTCCATATGGGGCATGATGCAAAGAGGACCATTTTCTAAGTCACCTTCATGTTTTTACTTCTTGCACCACTTAAACCTCCCCCAAGGTTATGGGAACTGTTAAGTTAAATGCTGCTTTAATTCATCTTAGAAGCATGAACTAGGAAGATTAACCTGTAGACGTTTGATTAGTTGACTTGGAGCCAACTAATTGATTTAGACTTCTAAAACATATGGAATTGGTTCTGGACCCAGATTCTAGTGTAAGACTTGTGGTTTAGTTGGTTCACAGGCTCTTACATTTATCAAATATGTAGAACAAGACTTGTGGCTTAAGTTCATCGACCATTACTTTCGAGGCATCCCCAAAGTTTTCAGGATTGATATTTGAAGGAAATGGAAAAAGAAGACCGTATTTACATGGTTCAACAAATTGCTTACATCAGCAGGGGTAGCTAGGATTTTATTATGTGATCCTTGAATTCTAATCTATGTTTAATCAAATAATGATATATATATATATATATATATATATATAGTGGGAGGTTCAAATAAGAAGACTGAATATCGTGTGAGAAGGTAAGAAGAGAATGATCATATGTGTATCAATGGAAAAATCCATTTGAAGATGGTATAATCTCGGTTTACATATGCATCTTCAAATAACTTTTTTCCAGTGATTCACATATGAACCATGCCTTCTTTTCTTCTCACAATATTTAGCTTTCTTATTTGACCCAGCCCCTATATACAGGGTGGATCATGCGAGAAGCCGGTCAAGTGATGAGAATGCAAGAAGTAATATCAACCACACACCTCATTAAATCATTGATTTAAATAGAACTGTTGAATATTAAATAAAGAAGGGTATAGATGTCATTTTATAATGGGGGCTTATCTCTAATTGTGATTAATTCCCAAATAAACCGGGATTTTTATCCTAATTTCCAAACAAATGATTGGAATGGAATCTTATGGCATCTTTGCTTCATGCTCCATGAGATTAATTGAGTTTCTTGGCATCGACAATTTTCTAGTGTTGCTTCCATCGGCGTTTTTGTACATTTGAAATTGTGATATTATCACATATGATATTCGATGATCTTATCACATGCTATTGATCTTGTCAAATATGATCATTGGTATTGGATTAATATGTTTTACCATCATTTTATCATATGTGGTATGTACAAAATTCAAAGAGTGGATCATATGTGATATACAATAGATCATATGTTATACATAGCGTATCACATATGATTCAAACTGTGGATCTAAAAAATTGTGAAAAAAATCAGCATAAAAAAATGATGGAAATAGATAATTGGTTAATTATGGATATCACATGTGTTATTTGATGAAAATTGTGAGAAAAATATTATCAAAAGTGGATCTAAAAAGAGTGAAAAAGTTCATATAAAACGTGATAAAAATCATGAATTAGTTCAAATCCAACAATAAATAAATCTAGGATATAATGATATTTTTAAAGGATTCAAATAGTTTTTTCTGTTCCAATTCTACCCTCAACATAATCTTCGACCTCACGGGAAATGGTAATTATCCTAATTTCTAAAAATATTTTTCCTATTTCCTATTTATGTTTTCTATGATTTATGTAGTTTAAATTGCTTCTCGCCTTCTTGTGAGTTGACTGCCTTCTTGTTTGATCCTGTCCCTATATATGCATATATTCTATTTTCGAACTCCAGAAATTGTTAATATGTTCAATTGAATAGAACCAGCTTGATCTCATGTGATGTTCATACCTTCTGATAGCATAGTACCTGTAGTTCTACAAGGTTCCTTGGTCGCCTTTGTGGGGTTATTTTAGATAGGGTTTATCACTGGCTTGCATGTTTAACCTGTTTATGGCCATTAACAGATGTGTCCTCCTTGGCGTAAGTTCTGGTTCAAATATTGCAAATTACGTGACACAAAGGGCAGTGGAAGCTGGGAACCTCTTGGACCCTGTAAGAGTAGTCGCACAGGTCCTTATGTACCCATTCGTCATTGGAAGCACTCCCACAAAATCCGAAATCATGTTGGCTAACTCTTACCTTTATGACCGAACCATGGCCATACTAGCTTGGAAACTTCTTTTACCAGATGATCAATTCAATCTAGACCATCCAGCAGCCAACCCTCTGTTGTCTGCTACAAAAGTCCCTCTAAAACACATGCCTCCTACACTCACGATAGTAGCCGAACACGATTGGATGCGTGACCGCGCCATTGCATACTCGCAGGAGCTTCGGAAAGTTAATGTAGATGCCCCGGTTTACGATTACAAAGACGCTGTACATGAATTTGCAACCTTTGAGATGTTTCTGAAGACACCAAAAGCTCAGGCGTGTGCAGAAGATATCGCGATATGGGTAAAGAAGTATATATCACTCAGAGGCCTCGAGTTCTCCTACTAAAAATGGATTAAATTGGAAATTTTAAGAGTTGCAGACCTAAATTTTGAGTTAATCGAAGCACGACAGAGCACAATAGAGGTTCTCGCATTCGTTCTGCTGGTCTCATGGATGTGGAAAGTTTCTTCAAAGGTACATAAGCGATAAACATATTTGATTGGTGACATTATATTATCGAGTTAAATAAGTTTCGGCCATTATACCATAAAATTTACTTATTACGGGCAAAGAGTTGATGAACGTAATAGTGAAGAGGTCGGAATTTGTTTTACTCGATAGTACGAGAGGGAAACAAATATGTTTCGGTGTAGATAACATCACCCACAAGTAATGAGTGGCACATTTGGACCAAGTTGTGAAACAGATTTTATTGATTCTTTTGTTTTTCCTTATTGTTAATAGTTAGTATACATGTAAAATCCATCTTATTTTTGTACTCCTTAAGAACTGCATATTCTTGGCCATTTGTTCATTGTGAATCTGGTGTTTTATTTTTAGATCGAGTCCATTTGTTTGTTTAATTCTGCATTTTCCGTATTCGTTACGGTCGACCAGGCTATACCCAGGAGGCTTTGCTTTCGGCAAACTAGCATCGGACCCGATAAGAGCATCGGAAATGGAGTGACTTGTAAGAACCTGCTTTTTTGTACTGTCACATCGTTGCCAACTCAACAAATTAAGAACTTTTTATAGGTTTCAGTGACCAAAGGGCCATTGGTTCAGCCGTACTTGGTAACCCCTCCGTAATGGAGGTCACCGATGATTAGAAGCGTATATGAGTTTAATTTTTTATACATAAAAATGTTATTTGCTTAAAAGAAAGAGAACTGATGTCATTAGTACATATAAAGCTACGTATATGGGACCATAAAAGTGAGAAGCCAAGATATCCTGTTCTAGTTTGAACTCAAAATCATGATCTCTAATGTGATGATGATCACACGTTAAAGGACTTTTTCAGGATCGATGATCTTCATCAATCCTCAAAAGCGAGCAATTCATTCATCATGTTGATATGCGTCTCATTTTTTCTGGTTGTGGTTTTACTTTTAATCAAGTCGAAAAATTACGAAATTTGCTTAAATCTGACAAGAATTTTTGGAATCCGAGTGTAGTAGTTAATAAAGTCGACTCATTGTGGTGAACATTAAATTGTAACAAATTGAATTTACATATCTCTAAGAGATGATAATTATGAGATTATGTTTACATTTTGTTCAAGGGTGACGAGAATGTCAAAAAATTTAAGTGAGACAGTGAAATGTTATCTAACCACTTGGTCTAGGGGGATTAGGCAAGCACTTACCGGTGAGAGAAATTACTCTCAATTATCTTATCATGTAACATTTTCGGCAATCAAAATGGATTGTTGGTAAACGTTTTAAATCCGGTAAACCTTTTTCCTTTTTTACCAGTGTAACTATCAGTCCTTGTTATGTCTCTTACTGGAAAGATTCTTGGTCTTTGTCATTCTCAATGTGTAAGATAAGTGATACCGTTGAACACTTATCGGATAACTAATTCTATGTTAATTTTTATTCCTTTTGAACAACCAAATAAAACATCATTTTTGACCTAGTCAACAATTGTTTAACATGATTGTTTGAACTTGATTTCAAAGGTCAAAAGTGTTAGGAGGTCCCAGGTTCAAATCCAAGAAGGAATAAAAAACTTCTTGTGGCCACGGAGGTTCAAATGCGGTGACTCCGGCTACGTGCAAAGCAGGTGACCATTCTGGGATTAGTTGGTTCGCATAGCAAGTTGTATATCCAAGTTAATAATAAAAATGTTTAAATCTTATGTGTATTTTCGAGTTTTTAAAGAAAGTAGGGGAGAAAAATCTAGTATCCTCGAGTTCTTTTTAGAACAAAAAAAAAAGAAAAATAATATTAATTTTCCTCCAAAATATAAGAAATTAAGAAAATAAATAATAACCAATTAAAAATATTTATAAAATTACCATTTTAACCATTAATTACAATCATCAGTAAAATAAATAGAAAATATATTTATAAATTTTACATCTTTCTTTTTGTTTCTCTTCGTTTTATCACTAAATCCTCAATGCTGGAATTTAATTTTTTAAATAATACTGATTTTTTTTATTTACTTTATCATTTGTTAAAAGATACTTTAGATATTAAATCAATAAAAAAAACATTTCCATTAAACCATACAATTTAAATCACATAAAGCATCATTTATTTTCTTTTTCCATGAAACGAGTAAATTGATTTCATTCGGTTAAAAGTTAGATCGTTCTTTTTCTTAGGTAATCATAGGTATTTGGACCATTTGATCTGTGCCGACTACTTATGTGGGTGACAACGAATGGTCCGGAATCATTACAAATAAATCATCATGGTCGCACATGTTATGACAATGTCTGGATTCGAATCTGGAAAAAATAAGATTTTCTCTGCATCCCCTGGTTTTTAATCATTGCGTCATAACCCAAATGGTTGAATAAGTGGTCGTTTACCAAACACTTATCTAGTAAGCGCTTACCGAATAACTTGACTTTCTGAATGAACATGAAAAGAACCAATATCTTATCCGGTTAAAATGATAGCAAAGACTGAGAGTTTACCAGTAAGTAAAAAAGTGACAACTCTTACGTAATCCTTATCGGATAAATTATTATATATTATGTCATTTTGATGGACTAAAATATTACTTTTTAAAAATTATCTTTTTAACATTTTCACTTGAAGACATTTGTCGACAAGCTTCCCGCAATAAATTCAATCACAAAGTAACTTTAATAGCAATGCGTTTGCGACGCACGTGAAATACCTTATCCCCCTTTTTAGATCTTATTGGTTTTTTTAACGGCTACTTGGTGAACTACTTTTTAATTAAAAATAAAATATTTCTCTTTTGTAATTAATTTTTTTTAAATAAAATCCAATATATTTAAAATTAAAAAAAATATTAATAACTTAAGCTTTTCTTTCAATGAGATTAACTGAACTCATTTTTAATATCCTTTTCGTCTTAAAATAAATGTTATAAATAAAAAAGACATAAATCGTACTTCTTCAACAACAAAAAAAGGAAAAAAGGATAATAATTACAAAAAATTATATAATTGTTATATTTTTTTAGTTAATTAAATGACAATTTTACATCCAACAATAGAGATATTTCTTCATTTCATAATTAAAAATAGAATTAAAAATTAGACAATTTTAAAAATTAATATTTATTTTAACATGAAAATAATATAAAATTTTCAAGGCAGAAAATAATCTTCACGTACCTTAATTCAAAGGCAAGGGCCTTTTGGGGGCCCGGATCCCTACAATTTTTTATCTTTTAGGTAGATAAAACTTAATTCACTATGCTAAAGATTTATTTTTTCACTTCTCTTTTAGTACGACCACTACTACCTTAATTGGAAGTCTTGCATTATGTTTTCAAAGTTCCATTATCTTTGGGTCTTGATTTGATGCTACAAATCATAAATAACATTATAATTAAACCAGATAAATTCATAAATAATACCAAAAATGGCCCGACTCGCATCTCAAATTCCACAATTAATCAAGCTTGAAGTAAGTATTGTAAACATAATCAACATTATAAAACCAAACCAAACAAATCCAATATATCTCATTCAAAGGTATGGCTTGAAAAGGATAGAATGTATGAAACATGCGTACTTCAATGAGTAAAGAGGCTATTTATGTGAAAACCATCGGTTTGCATAATGAACACTATATATCATGTAAAATGACAGTGATGGCAAATATGTCATTTACCTTTTGAGATACATGCAAAATGACAAGTTTTACTTTCTTCGTTTCATTGAAACAAAAAGTCATCTTTTTTTTTTTTTTTTTTTGTAAGATCAACAATTTAGTAGCAAAATTTAGATTTGAATTATGGGCTTGATTTTCAGATTGATTATCTATTTTACTAAAGAGCTGTTTGACCTTGTGGTATCCGGATTACTGGTAGAGTCCAATCTTTTGGGAGGTCTAAGAGTAAAGGATCATCGAAGGTTGAAATAGGGGCGGATCTAGCCCTTAAGGACCGGGGGAAAGGCCTCAGTCAAAGACCAAAAACGTTTGTTGACTAGCTTAAATTTTCTATTTTTACTCTCATCTTACATGGTTTCCCCCAGTCCCATATGGTCATATGCTTGCCTCCCTCCCTCAAGTCCCATCCAATGTGCCCCCACCCCATTAATTTCCTGGATCCGTCACTGGGTTGAAAGTACACATCAATATTTTCATAAATAAATATTATATACTGTAATTTTTTTTAATATAATTTGTAATTATCAAAGCTTAACTAAATATTTAGTTGGATGATGAAATATATATAGACATAATTGAGAGCAAGTTTGACGTATCATGGATTTTGATGAAGTTGAATTTTGAGTAACTGTAAATAAACATTATTTTATATGTTATATGAATATATTGTTTGTTTCACACATATCAATATCAATTTTTTTTTCCAAAGCTCTTATTCAATTCAACATTTTTGTTTTTTAAACATCAACATTTTTAGGGTAAATTTGGTACGTTGAACAAGGTGGGACATGACATGACATAATACATTTGTCCATGTTTGGCGTGTCTTTATATGGAACAGAGTGAAACTAGGTGGAACAGATGTGGAACACTCGTGTCCCTCCTAACCCCCCTAGAACTAAGTGGAACAAGGAAGCATTTGACCAATATACCCCTAATATTACAAAACCTAAACACACCGATCCGCCTCCACCCTCTCTACTCGACTCCTCTACCCGTCTCCTTCATCAAATTTCAAAATTTTAAAAATAGAATACTAAGTATAAGGAAAATATGAGAAAATAAAAATCATAGAGAATGGGACCATCTAAACACATGAAGGTGGGGGCATTATGCATTTGCTTTTAGCAAACTCTGTAAAAAAAGGTTAAAGAGAGAGAGGGTTTGGTCCAAAGTGACAAAGAAAAAGATTTTGTGTTATCAAAAAGCAAAAGCAACATTAAAGCAAAAGTGTAGATAAGATTTAAATGGTGTACCTTTTGTTTTTTGCTTTAAAATTATGCCTTTTTCCTGGGTAACCCCTACCCTGCTCCAAACATTAAATCAACAATACTCAGGTTAGGCTTTTTCTGTAAAGCTTGGAAATGAGTAATTTCAGAGTATTGTCTAACCATCAATGCATAAAGTACAAGTATTATAACAAAAATGATTATAGATAGGCCCACTAAAATCCTATAATTCAAATATAGAATTTGTAGATAAACCAAATCAAACCAAATGAACATGGTGAATCTCATGCGAAGTAGCTTTCGGAAAGGATAAGATACATGGAGGTCTAATCCAACGAGTAGAGGAGTTGTTTTTTGGAGACCCTCAAACTGAAAAAAGGCTTTGAGAAAACTATTTTGCGACTAGGAAAGGTTATGAAAGTTTAATAAAAGCTTCTGTTTTGTTAACCATGCGTGTTTGGGCGAGCTTACACGCACCTTGATTGATCCCAGGGGACTTGGAGAACAGCGAGGAAAATCCCCAATGACATTGTAGGACTCGAATCGAGAAGAGAATCCCTTAAGGTCCAAGTCTTATTATTAGTTGAGTTAACCTCATAAGGTTAATTTGACAAAAGCTTAAGAGAGAGAAAGAACGAGGTAAAAGAGATAAAGAAAAATATAAGAGAGAAGTTAGAAATGCAAGTTAGTATGGTCAAAGAAACAATAACAAGGTAATAATAGTAGCAATAGACTCTAAACCTCCCTCAGTCTATGGCGTTGATACTTAGCTAACCATACAATTTGTGGGTTATTATTGTCTCACAAGATGAATGTCATGCTACAGCTATAATGATATATGTTTTTGGTTTAAAAGGTGATGCATTGGATCTGGTTAATTTGGTACCGAAAGTTTTCACATGTCAATTACAGATAAAAACATGCATCTTGTGGAAGTTTTTACATGTCAATTACAGATAAAAGCATGCATCTTATGGAAGTTATGAAAAAACAGATAAATATCATGTTACATTGACTTGTATCTTATATTCAATGTTGTTGCATTGGATTCGACTCATTTAACAAAAACATATGCACACATATCCATCATATATAGTAAACCATGTACCAATGGTTTAACAATTGCCTTGTTTTGAGCAAATTCAACATCATCAAGAATACGTGCACATATACCAATCATTGATAGATGAACCAATCAAATCAAATGGGGAAGGAAACACAATAGATTGTCATATTTCTTAAAGAAACTAGAATTTTATGTGCTACTTTTTCTTGAGTAAAACAAATAAGCCAAGAAAATATGCATCATTCAGCCAACAAGATACTACACAAGTCAAGAGGGTTTGGTTAAAACTTAAAAAGGGAAAAGATGAAAACCAAAAAGTAGAAATTTGACATTTTGGAATTTATGGAACCCAAAAAAGGCCCTGGCCCCAAGTTTACGATTAGAATTTTGAAAAAAACACGGTTAGCATTATTTAGTTAGTATTTTCATAGTGGAGTCGAAGCCTTTTTTTCAAATGGTAATATTTGACTATAAAAAAAATCTATAGATATGTATTACGATATTATTATAGATTTATTGGTTGTTGTTTTTTTCCCCGCATAGATGAAACCAGCGTTGAAGTCTTGTTTTTTTTTTTGATTAACATGGATATCCGACCCGCTATGCGAACCGACTAATTTTCAAGGTGACCATCCATTTTACGGGTAACCCAGAGTCACCGTATTTGAACCTCTGTGATCACAAAGGGATTTTTACAATTAATATCTATTCTTTTTTTTAAATAAATTCTGAAGATTTCTGAAATTTTATATTCGTTCTCATCTGCTTTAAGACCATTTAAAACCAACTTTTTATAAAAAAAATTCTCCAGAACTATTTTCTCATTTTTTTAATTAATGTTGGAGATAGTCTAGAAGAAAGAACAACTTATATGCATGTTGAAATTGGTCAAAGATAACACGTTGAAATCCACCAACTCCCATTTATTTTGCATCAATGTTTTTATCATTTTTTTCATCAATCATCATGCATGTTACTAAACTTGTAAGAATTAGAATAAAAAAATATATTAGTAAAGTGAGAGTTTATATATTAATTATTGGACTTGTGATTATGTTTTGACCAGTTTATTTTTGTGAGACCTGTAAAACCATATTTTTACACTTGAAACTTCACAGTAAAACATTGTGAATGTAATTTTAACAGTGTTGTTGCTATGAAGGTTCAGAGTTTCTTTACCTTCACAATGTTTCGCTGTGAAGTTTCAAGTCTAAAAATGTGATCTCACGAGTCTCACGAAAACAAGTTGGTATCAAGTGAACCTTATCCTATATAGGGTTGGATTCATGTGAGACCAATGGTTTTTCGTGAGAATCGTAAGACCAATTTATATTCATTGATCAACTTTATAAGCTAATGATCTAATGGTCTAAAGTTGCACGGTGACAATTTTGTGATTATTGAAAAGTCTCGTGGCAATTTTGTGATTATGAATATTCAGATTGTAAATCTAATCCAATGGTTGAGAATTGGTCTTACGGGTCTCACGAAAAACCCTTGATCTCACATGATCCCAAGTCTATATATATATATATATATATATGTATATATATGTATATATATATGTATATATATATATATATAGAGGAGTGATCATATGAAAACCGCCCTCATTTGTGTAAACCGTGCAAACCACCTTCATTTGTCGATTTCATTGTTTAATCTTATGAAATTTTTTCATGAAATTGTTTAATCTTGTGAAATTGTTTCATATAATACTTTTTTGATGAAGTTGTTTCAT